TCACAGACGCTGCACACCTAGCACAGGACTGAAACATGCACCTCCCCTCGACATCCTAGGATACCAGAGGAAGAAAAAAGCTGTCCCCGTCATTTGTGCAAGAAAAATTCTGAAATTATTATGCAAACTGAGCCCAAAAATGTGAAATTGTGCAATTTTGTTAATTTTAACAAAGAATGATAATGGAAAATAATCTAAAAATTATGCAAAAAATCATCAAATTTTGCTAAATTATTCGGGGTGTATAAAACCACGGGGACAGAAAAAGTATAAAGTAAAGTAAAAGTTTTCTTGAATGAGAGCAGTCATGGAAAAAAAAAAATGAAATTTTATAAAGTCTACCGGTACCTGATTAACAGTGAGCTCTGGTTCGGTCTGTGGTGGTTGTGTCGAAGTGTGAGCGGTGCTGGAACCGACAACCTGTGCGTGTGTGACGGTGGTCGAGTTGGTAGCGTGAGTCGTTGGGCGGGCGCTGGAAGGTATGGGTTTCTTGTGTCCGAAGACGACGTCCTGTGCTGGGTCAGGGAAGGTTTGGATCACCGTGGAGTTCCTGTTGGCATTGACGTCCACTTCGTCTGAAATACAGGAGCATAATAATAGACTAATAGAGGTTGAGAAATAAGATAAGATAAGACAAAATAGTATAAGATAAGATGAGATAAAATGTTAAGATAAGATTATATTATAGTATAAGATAATATGTGAGGTGTGCTGACTTGGAGATATCGGCCGAAAATCGACAGTGAGGTAAGATTTATAGATTTCTAATTGAAGCCATTTTGTTCAAGTCTACCATGTCTTTTATTCTTCCATACTTACAAATTGTACAAACTTCACCTATAAAGTTGATGAATCAATGTCCATAAGGCTAAAATCGGAGAAGTAACTCATTTTGTCAGCGCACCTCACATATAGATAAGATGAGATAAGATAGTATAAAATAGATAAATCTGATCTTAAGGCAAGAAGATAAGATAATTTAATATAGTATACAGGTAAGTTATAAGATAAGACAAGACCTTAAGATAAGATCTTAAAGATAAGATAAGATTCGATCTTAATAAAGGGTACTTTAAGTTGAGATACGATAAGGTATGTCAAGACTTTTTGTTTGAGTAGGCATTTTATGTCATTTACAACACAGCTAGGTCATGTAAGTGCCGCAGAGTAGAGGTGTTACGAGACAGGTATCATATATAATGTATATAAAAGAAGGAAGCTGCTGTATGGTAAACACATACATTGTACTCGCACACGCACTCGTCAGAACACACACACACACACACA